GAGCAGGAAAGGGTAAAGGGAGCGGCAGGGTAAACCCCCACTCCCAGGCTAAATCAATATGCAAATTCTCAGCCTGAACAGGCTCCAGCAGCGGGAGGGCTACAGGCCCACACTCAGAGCTCAGAGCTCGCAGCTGCAGCCCCCGGGCAGGGAGGGAGGGAGGGAGGCCCCGCTGCCCAGCCCTGCACAGAGGCGGGAGCCCCTCCCAAGCGTGTCTGCAGAGGGGGCGGGCAGGCCCCTTCCCCCACGGCAGGCCTGCCTGCCCACCACACCCCAGAAAGACAGAGGCACCTTGAGCCTGCCTCAGTTTCCCCATCTGCACAGGGGGACTGAGAAGCCGGGGGGGGGGTCCCCGAGGCTGTTCCAGCATCAGCCTCAGAGGAGTGACCAGAGCCACCCTCCTGGGCAATGTCCACAATGCTTCCCTCCATCTCCACAGCGCCCCCACCCTGCACCCTGCACCCTGCACCCTGAGCTCTTCAGCCTCTGCCCTACAAGGAGCAGCCAGGTTTCCTGGGGAAGGAGAGAGGGGTCTGGGGCTACTTGGCAACTCGTTGGGTTCCGCGACCAGGAAGTTACAGCTTTGCTACCACTAAGGGTGAGGGCCATGGTCAGGACACCAGGGACAGCCTGTGGGGAAGGCCTGGCCATGGGGACGCGAGGCCATGGGCGGTCAGTGGGTGGCACTCTCCCCAGCTCCAGTCCCACAGCAGACCGGGGCGTGCAGGCGGGCCCTGCCCCGCCCGGGGCCCAGCCCACCCTCTGCCCAAGCAGACCCTGACCTATAGTTCCGGCCACTCTGTGAACGGGGGATTGACCCTCAAAGGCTGAGGGGAGGAGGCCCCTCGGGTGTGACTGGAGTCCCCTGACAGCCCCCATGCGGGACTAGGGTCCCTTCTTGGGTCCCCTGCTCACCCCACAGGAATCCAAGACAGGCTCCAGGGGCTCGGAGGGAGCTGGGCTGGGAGACACCTGGGGGTCCCTCTGGCTCCAGCAGCTGCTGTGGGGTGCTGGGGCCCGCCACTGGAGACCAGGCCAGGGAGACCCCCGGGAGGCCCTGCCCACCTCGTCCTGAGCTCCCAGGGCTGCGCTCCCTGTTCATGCGGGTGCCGAGGGGGCTGTTCCTGTGAGCGGCGTCTGCGAGTGGAGGGGCGCCTCTGCCCGCCCCCCACCACCACGCTGCTCTCCTGCCAGAGGCACCAGGAAGCTGCACTGTGAGCCCTCTGCTGAATCTCCCAGGGCCGGGGCTGTGAGGGCCCTCCCTCGCCCCTCCTGGGTGCAGACTGCCCAGCACGGAGGCCGTGCTGCAGGCCGGGACCCACTGCCCCTCGGACCAGCCCATGGTTACTCACTGGGTTGTGTGGGCAACAGGGTGGGGGGGGCAAGACTGGACCAAACACAAGGCAGGGTGGTCATGACGCCACGGTGAGCACAGGAGCTGGCTGGGGTCACTCTGGGCTCTGGGCAGGCCGCGTGTCTTTGGGGTGTGGGGGCAGACCAGAGCATCGTGGGCCTCCAGGAGGGGATGTGGCTTGCCTGCCCTGGGGGGCCATCCTGAGCTACTCAACTCACAGAGAGCCCAGTGCCTTCCCTGGCCCCCAGACTCAGCCTGTGTCCTGGCCCTTGCAAACACTCATCACTGCCCTGCAGAGCCTGCCAGCACACAAGTGCCCAGTCCTCCACCCTGCGCCAGGGGCCTCCGCGGCCCCTGATCCAAGCCTACACCACAGGCTGAGCTCAGTGTGTGGCCAGTGTCCCCTGCTTGCGCCTGGCCGCCATCTCACCCACAGCTCTCCCACCCAGGCTCCTGTCCTGGGGGGTCCACTGGTCTCCCCGTAGTTGGCCGGCCCTTGGCAGCTGGCTTCTTGGCAGGCTGCAGAGCTCCCCTGTGAGGGCCTGTTGGCGGGGTCCACCATGCCAGGCTGCGGGTGGCCCGCAGATGGGCAGGTGGAGGGAGGGGCATGGAGAAGCTTCTCATGCCCTGTGGGCCTGCCCCGCCGGCCCTCCAAGCCCCACCTGAGTCCCCGGCTGGCCAAGAGGCTGGTCTGGACATGGACGGTCGCCCCTGGGTAGAGGGCAGACGCCCCTGCAAACTCAAGACACACTAGCAGCTAGACCAGGGTACACGGCCCGCAGGTGGCCTCAGGGTGAGGAGGGCCATGCTGACGCTGGTCCCCGCCCCACTGGCAGCCCCACGGTGCCTACCTGCGCCCCCCATGCCCGCTTGGCTGGTCCTCGTGGCTTTGTTGCCAAGTGGTGGCCACTCCAGGCCCCTGCGTGTTCGCCTGAGTCTGCCGGTGCACCAGCTGGCAGAAACACAGCCTCCTCCCGCGCACCTCGCCCTCTCCTCTTCCTGCCGTCCCCACGCGGCGGTGCCAGCTTGGAGTTGGCACGGACAGAGCTGCTCACAGCACAGCCGGCATGCTTTTGTCTTGGAGACCGGCGTGTCGCACACGCACGCACACGCCAAGCCCCCGCCCCATGGCCATGCAGTCTGTCTGCCAGGAGAGCCCAGGCCGGCCCACGTGCGGGCCCGCTGCCCGCGTGCCTCCAAGTGCCCACCCCAACTCTCTCCACTGTCCAGCCAGGCTACCAAGCTAGGGGGCACCCACTGCCTGCAGTCCCCTGGGGCCGTGGTGACAGGCAGCGTCTCTGGGTCATGCGTCTGCCTTCCCGGGACTGTTGAGCTGCCGGTGGCCACCGAGGGGACCCCAGCCCGGTGAGCTCGGCCAGAGCAGATGCCTCTCGCGTGCGCGGTGCTGGTCTGCAGGACTCCCGCAGGGCGCTGGACGAATCCCTCGGGGATGCCTGCCAACGAGGGCCGGGAAGCCGATGGCTCCCTCCCGAGGGTGGGCCCCTAGGACCCAGGAGGACCCGGGAAGGGTTCCCAGGGTGTCAGCTCGGGGCAGGGGTGGCGGCCCCTGGCAGGGCCTCCGGACCGCGGCTCTGAGCCCCCAGGCCCCGGCCCTGCCGCCCTGCGCTTCCCGGCTCCGGCTGAGCGCCCGGGGGGCGTCGGAACAGGGGGCCAGAGTCCAGGACAGGTGGCCCCGGCCGGTGTTCCGCCTGTGTCCAGGCAGCTCCCAGCCTCCTGGCTCCGCCTCCGCTCGAGGCTGTCGGGACCCTCGGGAGCGGCCCGCAGGGCTCCGGCCTCCATCCACGCTGCCCCCGCCCGCGTGAAGGGGCGCGGGGTCCGGCCGGTCGGGCCGGGCCGGCCGCGCTGCCCGGGGGACACTGCCGGGCCAGCTGCCCGCACCGCCGCCCAGCCGTCCCCTCCGGCCTCCGGGCCCGCGCGCCCCCTCACCCGCGCCCAGGGCCGGGTCTAGGACGGGTCCGACCTCCGCCTCTGCTCCCGGAACCCGCGCGCCGCGCCCTGGCCGTGGGCACGGACGGACAGACGGACGGACGGGGGACGGGGCGGGGCCGCACTTCCGCTTCCGGCCGGGCGGAGCCGCGGAGGCGCGAGGTGAGCCGGAGCCCGGACCCCGTCCCGAGTGACCGCCCCGCGTGTCCCGTCCCGAGTGACCGCCCCGCGTGTCCCGTCCCGAGTGACCGCCCCGCGTGTCCCGTCCCGAGTGCCCAGCCTGCGTGTTCCCTCCCGAGTGACCGCCCCGCGTGTCCCCTCCCGAGTGACCGCCCCGCGTGTCCCGTCCCGAGTGACCGCCCCGCGTGTCCCGTCCCGAGTGACCGCCCCGCGTGTCCCGTCCCGAGTGACCGCCCCGCTTGTCCCCGTCCCGAGTGACCGCCCCGCGTGTCCCGTCCCGAGTGACCGCCCCGCGTGTCCCCTCCCGAGTGACCGCCCCGCGTGTCCCGTCCCGAGTGACCGCCCCGCGTGTCCCGTCCCGAGTGACCGCCCCGCGTGTCCCGTCCCGAGTGACCGCCCCGCGTGTCCCGTCCCGAGTGACCGCCCCGCGTGTCCCCTCCCGAGTGACCGCCCCGCGTGTCCCGTCCCGAGTGACCGCCCCGCGTGTCCCCTCCCGAGTGACCGCCCCGCGTGTCCCCTCCCGAGTGCCCAGCCTGCGTGTTCCCTCCCGAGTGACCGCCCAGCGTGTCCCCTCCCGAGTGACCGCCCCGCGTGTCCCCTCCCGAGTGACCGCCCCGCGTGTCCCGTCCCGAGTGACCGCCCCGCGTGTCCCCTCCCAAGTGACCGCCCCGCGTGTCCCCTCCCGAGGGCCCAGCCTGCGTGTTCCCTCCCGAGTGACCGCCCTTCGTCGTCCCTCTGCCCGCTGAGGCTGTGCACGGGGGAGTCGCTGGGCCTGGGACTGCTGGCGGGGGCAGATGGAGCAGATCTTGTCGCTCGCCGGCCCTGGGAGCTGCCCTGTGTCCCGCCACGCCCAGCTGTGTCCACTGCCCTGACCCAGTGTGGGAGTCGGGGGAGGGAGGCCTCCAGGCAGAGTGGTCAGGGAGGGGGCTCGGGGCCTGCCCAGGTGGGTCGTGACCCCCAGCCTGGCCCCCGCAGCCCCGGGCCTCTCCATGCTGGTGGGGCGGGAGGGAAGCCGTGTCCCCTGCTGCCACCCTCAGAGCCTCGCCCTGGCACTGAGTTTTCATGGCTGCCTCTTGGCTTTTCCTCTGGGGTTCGCTGTTTCCACCTCGGTGTGTCCCTGAACTCACCTATCCTGTCCTTGGTGGCTGCACACCCCGCTGTGCGGGGCTGTCCCAACCGCCCAGGAGTGACCGGGCAGTGCTAGGGTCAGCTGGAGACCGGCATCAGAGTCCTGCACGGCCCTCCCATCCTGAGCTCCGTAAGCTCCAAATCTCGTAAGGAGTCTCCTGCGATTAAAAGGTGGCCTGGACACTACGTTCCAGCAAGGGGCCTTCCTGCTAGCACTGACCGGAGCGGGCCTCATTCTGCTTCTGTGTTTGGGTCACCCCAGCAATGCTCGGGACCCTGCGGGGTGCTGCGTGCAAGGCCCGCGCCCTCCTCTGACTGTCCGAGAGTCTGGGCCTGCTGGGCTCTGGGCTAACGGGCCTCCTCCTCTCTCCCCAGGTCAGCAGCACTGTCCGCCATGCCACCCCGCCTGCTTGTGGCCTTTGGGCGCCGGCCCTGGGCTCTGGCTGCCTGCCCGCCAGCTCCCTGGAGGCCCCAGGGAAGCCGTGCTTTGCACTGGGCCGCCCCGCCCGACCGCAGTGCCCCCGTGTTCACCCGTGCCCTGGCCTTCGGGGACCGACTGGCCCTGGTGGACCAGCACGGCCGACACACCTACCGCGACCTGTACCTGCGCAGCCTGCGCCTGGCCCGGGAGCTGTGCGCGCTGCGCGGCTGCACCAGCGGGGACCTGGGTGAGGAGCGCGTCTCCTTCCTGTGCGCCAACGATGCCTCCTATGTGGTGGCCCAGTGGGCCACGTGGATGAGCGGGGCCGTGGCCGTGCCACTCTGCAGGAAGCACCCGCCAGCCGAGTTGGAGTACTTCATCCAGGACTCCCGCAGCGCGCTGGTTCTCGCGGGCCCCGGCTTTGAGCCTCTGCTGCGCCCCGTGGCCCAGAAGCTGGACGTCCCGCTCCTGCCCCTCCCACCCACTGAAGGCGACCACCCCTCGGCAGAGTCGGGTGACAACGAGGTGCTGCCGGAGCGGGACTGGCGGGACCGGGGCGCCATGATCATCTACACCAGCGGGACCACGGGGAGGCCCAAGGGCGTCCTGAGCACCCACCACAACATCAGGGCCGTGGTGAGGCCCTGGGGGGGCTGTCGCTGGGACGTGGGTGGGCGGGGCCTGCTGCGGGGAGAATCCTGCATCCCCTGCCTGGCCTGCATCCCCGACATCCCCCCCCCCCCCCCCCCGTGTCCCCCGAGGGCTGAAGCTGTGCATGTCCGCAGGTTACAGGGCTGGTGCGGGCCTGGGCATGGAGCAAGGATGATGTGATTCTGCACGTGCTCCCACTGCACCACGTCCATGGCGTGATCAACAAGCTGCTCTGTCCGCTCTGGGTGGGTGCCACCTGCGTGATGCTGCCCGAATTCAGCCCTCAGCAGGTGAGCGCTGCCCCACCCCAGCCCCGACCAGGGCCCGTCCTGCCTCCCCAGCGGGCAGCAGGCCCCGCACACCTCTGGCTCTGTGTGGGCAGCCCGTCTCAGGAGCCGTTCCCTGGCAGGGGACGAGAATGGTCACACCTGGCAACTGACCTTAGTGGCTTTGAGTGTCCGTAGAGTTGACCTTAGGGGAGTGTGTGCTCTGAGGGTGTTGGAGTGGGGGTGTGGGACCCCGTCAGCCCCCTGTCCTGTGCTCACTAGGCAGTGAGCAGGTCCCGGAGTACAGGCCAAGGTGGGGGCACTGCTGGGGAGAGCGGGTCATGGGCCACCCTCTGCAGGTGGGCTCTCGCCGTGGGGGTGGGGTGCCCTGACTGCAGAAGGCCAGTGCACGCGCTGCTCCTCAGGCCCGGCCCAGTGTCCGCTTGGCTTCCTCCTGCAGAGAGGGCCTGGCCTGCCCAGGTGCCCCCCCTCTGGGCACCCGCGCCCCAGCCCTGCTTGCCTGCTTCCACCTTTGCCTCTGCTCCAGGTTTGGGAAAAGTTCCTGAGCTGCGAGAGCCCCCGCGTGAATGTGTTCATGGCTGTGCCCACCATCTACGCCAAGCTCATGGAGTACTATGACAAGCACTTCACCCAGCCTCACGTCCGGGACTTTGTGCGCGCTGTCTGTGAGGAGAAGATCCGGTGAGGGAATGCACCGTGGCCCCGAGCTGCTGCGTCCTGCGGCGCCCCCCGGCTCCCCCCAGCCCTGGGGCCACGCTCTCCCACGTGCGGGTCCACCATCTGTGCGTGCTGAGGTGGTCCCGCTCCCCCACCTCTGCTCTCACCTGCCCGCCTCCTTCCTGCCCACTGGGCTGTGCTCGCCGTGCTAGTCGCCGCTGTCCTGCGGGCAGGTTGATGGTGTCGGGCTCGGCCGCCCTGCCCGTGCCGGTGCTGGAGAGGTGGCAGCGCATCACCGGCCACACGCTGCTGGAGCGGTATGGCATGACGGAGATCGGCATGGCTCTGTCCAACCCCCTGCACGCCACTCGTCTGCCAGGTACACCCAGCGCCCACCACGGGGCCGGCGCAGACTCGGGGGCCAGGTGCAGAGCTGCACCCCCACGCCAGCACCACCAGACTCAGGCTCTGGGGGGAAGCCCCGTCTGGCGTGGCCCCCTGCCACCTTGCCTGTCCTGGGTCCTTGTCCCCTTTCCACGCGGACAGAGGGCTGCGCTCAGGAACCTGACATGGCCCCCTGAGTACTGCCGTTGTCTCTGTGCCTGGCTCTGCAGACCCTAGTGGCACCGACTCACAGCCTGGCACTGAATCTCCCGCCCCATGATAAGGATCTGGAGCGCCCGGTGCCCCCTGAGCTGTGGGTCAGGCAGTAAAGGCAGGTGCTCTGTGCCCTCCCTCTGTCCTGTAAACCAGGGACCTTCTGGAAGCTGTGGGTGTCTTAGCGGACACCTGGGCATGTGGCTGCAGAGTCCCCAAGGCCCAGGCCGGCAGCCTTCCTGTAGGCCTCACCATCCCCTTACTGAGCGTGCGGTTCATTCCTTTCAGGGCCAGGTCAGAGCCCGGGTCACCGAACTGGCCGTGTCCTCTCTCAGGGGCAGCAGAACTGTTGCCTTACTAGTGCTGCTGTCACGAGTGTCATTTCTCTGGGGGACGTAGGAGGGCACAGTCTGGCAGGTGGGGTGTGGGAACTTTCTCCTGAGCAGTTGACGTGAATCTGGCCAAGCACCCGGTATGTCTACTCCTGCGCGGCCAGCACCCGTCCCTTTGTCCCCGGCTGGCTTCTCATGCCATCTGGCCTGTGTGGGGCTTTGCTCTGGGAAGTGTGAAAACCTGTGACCTTTATCCCAGCATGTGGCTGACTTTTGTCCATCCTGAATTCTTCTGTGGCTTATCCTCGGGGTCCACGCTGGGAGTGTCTGTCTGAGGCTGGCCCGTGAGGTGAGGCTGAGTGTCTCTGCTCTCTGCTCTGTTGAGCTGAGATGGGGGGCTCCCACACGCCCACTGTGTCTCACGCTGCCTGCAGTGACTGGAACCCCCCATTTGAGCTTGGGACTGAGCTCTGTGTATGTGGGTGGTGCTGGAGTCCGACTCTTGGCCTCTCCTGCCCCCAATCCCTGAGCTTTGCAGCTGTGAGGTGCGTGTCCTAGCATCTCGTGAGGAGAGTGCTCCTCCATGGGCTGCCCTGGAGTCCTGGTCACTCATGGCCCTAACTGCAGGGCTGGTCCTGATACCGGGATCAAGCATGAAGACACTGTAGGTAGTGAGATGATACTTTTCTCTGCACTGACCCAGGCCAGAGCGTGACTCTCAGCCTCTGCATGGGGTGTAGGTGGTGGGGTCCCACCCATGCCTGGGCGGTAGAATGGGTGCCGCAGCTAGTGTGGGGCTGGCTGTGGAGAGAATTCAGGGTGCCCATGCACGGGGGCACTGGCCAGAGTGCGCGGGTAGCTGTGGCTTCCACAGCACCGTCACTGAGAGGTAACAGCAGCCCAGCCTGGAGACAGAGGGTCCAGGTGGGGCAGGAGCCAGGAAGACGCTTGGTCAGACGCTTGTCATCCCCTTTGCTCTGGGCAAGCCCAGGGTGGGGACATCCCTGAGCGGCCTGAGACCCTCCCACAGAGTGGGCTGCGCGGGGCCCCGTGAGAACAGCAGCTGCAGGAAGGAAGCACTTCTGGGTCTCCCCTGTCACAGCAGGCAGCAGGCCACACTCACTCTCTGAGCTGGGAGGGCAGGGACAGGGTCCCGGGCTGAGACTCAAAACAGGAGCAGGTAGTTTCAGCTGCACAGCGGGGCTGGGGTGTGTCCAGGGCAACTGGGGGACAGCAGGGCCTGTGCTGCATCCTTTGGGACAGGAAGAGATGGCCCTGCACCAGCCACCAGCTGCGGCCCTTGGTGCTCTCAGCTGTTTCCTCAGGACTGCTCCCTGCAGTCCCGTCCTGCGCCGTCCGGTGACTGCCTGACCCTCTTCCCACCCCTGCAGGCTCAGTGGGCACCCCGCTGCCCGGTGTCCAGGTGCGCATCGTCTCCGAGAGCCCCCAGCAGGACAGCAGCCAGTACGTGCTGCATGCGGAGGGGAGTGAAGAGGGCACTCAGGTGAGCCAGACCCCCACGGGGTCCCCCCTGTATCCCCGGAGCAGGTGTGGGAGCAAAGGCGTCTGCCGCAGCCCTGCTGTGCCTCATGGAGGGGTGAGGCTCCAGCTCTCTTGGGGGGCTGGCCTGCAGGGGTCTCGCCCATGGAGCCCTCCTGTGCCACAGTGGCAGAACGGGGCCATCCGCTCCCATCTCACTGTGCTCCCCTCTTGTCGGGGCTTCCTCAGCCCCTGGCTCATTGAGCACCGGAGGAGAACCCCAAGCCTCCAGCCTGCCCATTCCCGTTAGGAAGCATCTGGGAGTAGCTGTTGCGCACCTGACCAGGCCCTGCTCTCAGAGGCAGCAAGGGGGTCACTCCCACTGCCTCACTTGGCTTTGCCCTGGGCTCCAGGGCTGCTCTCCATGGCCACACTCCGTGTTTCCCACATGGCCAACTGGTGTCTCGAGCACTGTGGACTTTGTCCCTCTGCTGGTGGCCATGTGGCCCTGGGTGCTCCTGGTTCATGTAGACAGACATGGCCTGTGTGCTGTGTACAGGCCTCAGATGCTGGCTGTGGTGGTCAGAGCTGCTGGGCGCTGCCCTGGGCACCCCCACACAGCATGCCACCTGGCTGTGTCTGCGGCAATGTGTCCTGCATGTGCACTGTCTGTATCTGTATCCATGTGTCAGTGTCTGTGTATCTGTCTGGCTGTCATGGTGACCCAGCCTGGGATTCACACACTACCTGTGTACCCCCCGCCCCCGCCTCCCCTCTTCCCTCACCGCCTCCACGTGGTCTCCGCCACCCTGGTCTCCGCTCAGATGCTGTTTCTCAGCAGTGTGCTCCCTGCTGGCTTGGACTCAGGCTGACCCACACTGGCCTCTTGACTTGGGTGTGTGGGAGCTGTGTGTCCCTGCCCAGAAACTGCTGGGCCGCCCAGACTGGTCTCCGTTGGCAGCTGCAGCCCCCCATGCTTACCTGGCTTTGTCTTCACTTTTGTATGAAAAACAAGTGACTCAGGGCCTGTGGGGCCTGCAGTGAAGGCTTGGTCAGTGGTGACCTCACCCCGTCTGTCCCTCCTTGGGAGCTGGTGACAGCATATCAGTGGGCCCCCAGGACCCAGTGGGACACTCCTTCCACAGACTAGTGGACCCTCTCTGGGATTTCAGGGTGGGTGGGGTGTGGTATCGGGGCACACTTGGGGTGCAGGCGTGGATCACCGCCCCCTTGTCCAGGTACTGCCCGGCTTCGCAGAGAAGGAGGGGGAGCTCCTGGTCCGAGGCCCATCTGTGTTCCGAGAGTACTGGGACAGACCCGCCGAGACGAGGAGTGCCTTCACCCCAGATGGCTGGTTTAAGACAGGTGGGAGCCCCACGCCTGGACCCTGCTCCCCACAGGAGGGGCCCTGCTGCCTGTGGTCTCAGAGGAGGTTTGAGTGAAGTCCCCCGGGATTGGGCCTGAGGGCAGGTGTCCCAGTCTGCCGCTGGCCACCTTATTTAATCATGAAGGGCCCACGGATATCTGTCTCATATGCCCTGGGCAGAAAGCACAGTTTCGGCCTCTGACTCTCCAGGGACCTGGGGCAACGTGGTGATAGCCGGCCAGGCCTTTATAAGGCTCTGCCCATGCACACCACGTTGCATGGCCCCGTCGGCCTGGCTGACTCATGACCCCTTTTTATGCTTGATTCAGAGATCTGCATAGCACAAGCACAAGACAGAGTTGAGGTCCAGTTGGGAGCTGGGCTTAGCGGCCACCAACAGGGCCCCCACTCAGAATGAATATCTTTGTAGCGTGCATTAATCGTGGTGGAGAGGTGTCTTTAGAAGACGATTCTGAAATTTCGTTTAATTTTGTTATAATATGTGCAAACAGGAAGCAGTGTTGAGTTTAATTGGCTCTCTGGGGGAAGGTCTGGTCACAGGCCATTAGCAGCCAGGAGCTCCTGCAGAATTCTGTTGGCGCAGACTTAACCCTTCCTCGGCCAGCCCCCATGTCATGCAAGGCCATAGGAGCAGCCCAGCTCCTGCGTACAGCACAGCAGAGAGGTCAGTTGCTTCCTGTTCCTGGGAGGCGCTCCCCATCCCCACAACAGCTAGTGCATGGCCCGAGCATGGCCTGCTTGGCCCCAACACCTGAGCTGCCGGTACATGGACACGGCTTAGTCTGCCTGTGGCCCTATGTAATGCTGAGACCACAAAGAGGGGATGTGGACAGGCACCAGGACGCAGAACAGCCAGCCAGAGACGAGCCTCCAGTCAGCGTGTTGGAGAGTCCTAGTACCGAGTCAGACATCTGTTTGTGCTGCTGTCTCGGGATGCAGTGGGGGGCAGGGACCCCGGGCCAGAATCGGTGCCTTGTTATGAAGTGAGATGGTGGGCAAGCATTGCCAAGAAGGCCCCCCCTGCCTGGCCTGGGTCTACATGGGAACCGGGCCCCAGGGAAGGAAACCTGGAAGAACCAAGAGCAGGCCAGGGGCAGGCAGGAAGCCCCCTTGGGTGACATCTGTGCAGATCCTCTGAGAAGGCAGCAGTAGGAGATGGGTGAGGGGTGTCAGGACACATGTGTGCAGGCAAGAGTGACATGTACGTCCTGGCAAGCAGGAAGACTGTGACACAGAGACCCCTGGAACAGGCTCTCAGCTCCCAGAGGCCTGTGGCTATGGACACACTGGGATCTCTTGGCAGGCTGTGGCCTCACTCTATAGCAGGAAGTGACGGACACAGTGCAGATGTGGCCTGAGGGCAGCACAAGGGCGTGGGGACCCCAGCGCTCATTCCAGCAGAGCCTGGTGCACTGGTGGGACACCGTGGCAGCTCCAGGCACCGGTGCCCAGCCCAGAGCAGGCCCTGGCCCAGGGAGAGCTGGGGCAGGCTCCCTGGGCTTGCAGGTGCTGCTCTCACCAGCCTGTGCGCGTAGCCGTGCTGTCCCCCAGCCCACCTGCCCAGCGCAGTGACTCCATCCGATGCAGTTCCCATGCAAGGGTCTGACTGTGCATCTACTCACCTGTGTATGCTGCCATGGACACACATGCACACACTCCTGAGAACTCACGCCCCCCAAACTGCACATGCAGACACCGTCACAGTGCACACACCAGCACATGAACATAAACAGGCCCTGACACCCTGCGTGCTCCCCTGCAGTCTCTCTCTCACTCGACCTCTGTGTGTGTGGGGGGGTGCATTTTTTCATTTTCTTTTCATTTTTTTGGGCCACACCCTATGGACTTACTCCTGGCTGTGCACTCTTGGCGGTACTCAGAGTACCAAATGGGATGATAGGGATCGAACCCAGGTCACCTGTGTGCAAGGAAAATATCGTACATGCTGTGCTACTGCTCTGGTCCCAAGGGTGTGAAGTTCTTTCCCGGGGACTCCCCAGAGACTGAGCCTGGGTGTTGGGGCCAGACCCCCACATGGACCCAACAGAAACAGCTTGTGTGTGTGTGCGGGGCGGGGTGGCCAGGAGGCCTCATAGTCTCAAGTGTGTCTGTGGGACAGCAGGGCTGTCCCCATCCCCACCTTTCCCAGTGACCGCCTGAGTCCCTGCTGGGATGTAGGAATACAGGCATCTGGGCCTGCTGGAGTAGTTCTGCCCGCCACGTCCCTGGCAGGGTCACTCTGGGCAGGGCCTCCTGTGACAGAGCCTGTTGCAGGTGACACAGCCGTGTTCAAGGACGGCGCCTACTGGATCCGGGGCCGCACATCTGTGGACATTATCAAGAGTGGGGGCTACAAGATCAGCGCCCTGGAGGTGGAGCGCGTCCTGCTCGGGCACCCCAGCATCACAGGTGAGTCCCTGACTCCAGGGCCGCTGCTTGAAACCTGCCTGTACCTCCCATACTCAGTCTCTAGTCCTTCACACTGCCCGGCTGTACCTCATGGGGAGCCTTACCATGCCCACCCAGAGCTGGTCCTGATCTTAGTGGACAGTGCTACATGTGCTCAGGCCACGGTGGAACGTACCCAGAACAGTACCAGGGACACCCCCACTCTGGCCTCTGTCCTCACAGCAACCCGATCTCTCTTCTTCCCAGATGTGGCTGTGATCGGCGTCCCTGACATGACATGGGGCCAGCGGGTGACTGCGGTGGTCACCCTGCAGGATGGACACTCCCTCTCCCACCAGGAGCTCAAGGCGTGGGCACGGTGAGGGCTCAGCAGTGGGTATGTGGGCATGGAGAGGGCTGTGCAGTAGACATGGAGATGGACATGGAGGTTCTGGCAGTATGGCGAGTCAAGGCCTGGGGGCTCCCTAGGAACTGTTGGAGCTGGTGCTGCTGGCCCCTGGGTCAGCGCTGGGTGTAGCTGTCAGGGGCTTCAGTGGTGTCCCTGGAAAGGGCCATTAGAGTCTGCTGGACATTCCGCTGTGCTGCACACCTGGTGGAGCCCAGCAGACAAGGGAGCAAGCCCTCCGTACCCAGAGCAGGTATTGACCTACTCTGTCGAAGGCTATGCCACACTGGCTACCCAGGGCCACCCTGGGTCAGGTTCCCAAGTGCCAGCAGTGGCCAGTCCCCAGGCAGACCTGAGCCTCACTCGAAGGCCAGACAGGACAAGATCCCCGTGGCAGCTTTTAGAGATACCCCAGATTCTCTTAGCCTCTGCGGGTGTCTCCTGCCTCTGGTGCTTCGTGCTGAGCTGTAAGGGCAACACCCGTGTCGTGAGGCAGAGCATCTGGGCGCCAGGACCTGCTCCGCCAGCAGGTGGCTGTGCTGATGGAGCACTGGCGTGGCCTGTGCCGTGGCCCCCCAGGGTCCCCTGCCCATCCTTGCCCTCACACAAGGCCAACTCGTGGCTCCTTGCTCTGGGGCTCCGGCTGCCTCTGGGAAGGTGCCCAGTCTGTGTCCTGCTGGCTGCCTTCCTGGGTGGAGATGGGGGGGGCCGTGCCCCCACAGAGGCTTTGTCAGGACTGTGGTCCCTTTGCTGCCCTGAAAAGGCCTTGTGGTGATGGGGCCACTGCATCTCCCCTCAGTGCCTGGAGATCACTATCCATTGGGTGGGAGTTGAGGGGCCTTAAAGTCGGCACTGGCTGGACAGATTGCGGGGTCCCTGAATGGGCCCACTGGGGGTCCACCAACACCAGTTTCCACTTCCTCAAAGGGCCCCTTCTTGGACGCGGCAAGGCCCTTGCACTGTGGCCCCCTGACTCTGTACCTCCTGGTCCACCAGGGGCTCCAGAGGCAGTGGTAGCTGCCGACCTCCCCCAAGACAGAACCCTCAGGGCTCCACCTGGGGCAGGACCTGGCCTCACTCCCCAGAGGGCCCCCTGTGCCAGATGGTGTGTGTGGGTGGGGGGGGGGTTTGAGCTCAGGTGGGCGAGGTCAGGCTACAGACTCCTCTTCATTTTGTGGGCCCTCGGCCTGTAGGCTTCTTGGCCACGCTTCCGGAGCCCTGTCCCTTCTGGGCCCCATCTTGCCCTGCAGTGGAGAGTGGAGCAGTGGGTGGGGCCACCATGCAGGGCGAAGGACCTGGAGCTGGGGCCGGGGGCCCGGGTAGCTGCACCCAGCGTCCTCCTACTCATGGCTGTGAGCGTGTCCAGCAACCGCCAGGCTTCCCCGCATGCCCTTGGGCCGCTGCTGGGTATAGCCACCCCGAGGATACTGGCTCCAGGCTCACTGGTTCGTTTGCTCGTCTCCGCAGAGATAGTCTCGCCCCGTACGCTGTGCCCTCTGAGCTGCTGCTGGTCGGAGAGCTCCCGCGCAACCAGATGGGGAAGGTGAACAAGAAGGACCTGCTGCGGCATTTCTACCCTGGCCAGCAGGCCCCTGGCCCGTGAGGGAGCCTCCCGTGCCTGCGTCCCCAAGCCCGCAGATGGCCTGCGGGTCTCCCGTGGGCACTATCCAGGGCCGCACCTCTCCCCAGGAAGGCATGCGAGAGCCCAGCGTGGTTTCTGCTGCAGTGGGACCCCAGCCCCCCAGACTGCGACTCCAGCACCCCCACCCTGCTGCTGCCCCTGTGCCCAGCGCAGAGTCGGGAGCTTCTGCAGTGCAGGGAGTAGCCGTCACCTCCAGTCTGGTTTCTCTCACCTACTGTTCTATGAACAAGCAGCCAGAGGTGGGAGCCCAGGGAACACACATGCAAGGGCTCAGCCTGGGTGTGGTCTGGGGAACCCAGCTGTGCTGAGGGGCAGCTGCCACAGGGAAACTCTGCTTGGCATTGTGGCACTGCCTCTACCCACTGGACAGTTGGCTCGTGTGGAGCCTGTCCCCAGAGTGTGCCTGCTGCTAGCCTTGTGCTGTTAGTCGGCCAAGGACATGCGAGTCACAACCACGCTGCCCCTGCTCACACACGTCTCATGGAGCTGCAGCTCCAGTAAGCAGGCAGGGGCCAAGGAGGGTGCTTATGTGGTCAGGCACATGCCCAACATGATTGAGCCCCCGGTTTGACCCCACACTCCATGGGAGCACCAGGACAGTTAAAATACAACTTTATAAAGGCTAGCTGGATGCTGTCTCCTCATTGGCCTTGTCTGACCACCGGCTTAGGGATAGTTCCCAAGGACTGCCAGGACCTTCCGCCTTGTCTGGAGATGTGGTCTGCACCCACGGTCTTCTCCCTGAGGGCTCTGCCCTTGCTGGGCAGCTCATGCTACTGCAGGGGCCTGGCCTGAGAGCCCTTAGCCCTGTGTAGCCAGGATCTTCCAGGGCTCCAGGAGCATCGAGGACTTGGAGATGTCGAAAGGTAGGGCAGGGAGGCCCAGGCTCGTGAGGGCTGCTCGGGGCTTCACAGAGGTCACCTGCAAGCAGTGCTCCTCCCGCCACTCCCCTGCCCGTATCTCAGGCCAGCGGGCGCCCAGACGTCCTCTGCCACCCTCAGGACAGACCTTCGTGGCCAGCCCAGGTGCCAGGTCAGCTGTTCACAGTGTGAGCCCCAGCAGTCAGTGTCCTGGCAGCACTCCCGAAGCCCTTTGTCTGCATCACCTCTGGAGTTAGCCCTGCCGGGTGAGGTATGGAAGACGGGGTGGGAGCTCCCAGATGCACCGCCCTCACAGGCAGGGCTGCACAGGCTGACCCCTGCCATCTTGAGTGTCCTGGGCTGAGTGAGCAGCAGAGGGAAGCCGAGCCTCCTGCCAGCCCCTGCCCCTGCCCCGGGTCCACTGCTGAGCCCAGCCAGGAGCAGGCCGCAGGGCTCGGGCATGGCCAGTTCCCATGGGAGGGGAGGGGGTACTGGCCAGGATCATCAATTCTGACATCCCAGCCACACTGATGTGGTACGAGCCCTGCGTACCACACCGCCCCCACCACATTTTTCCTGCCCCGCCCCCCAGTCTGATTCCTTGTGTGCCCTCACAGCCCCGCACCAGCCTGCCAGGGCTCTTAAACTCAGCCACTGATGGGCTATGCTGCAGCCCCGCCCATCACCTCAGAGGCTCCGCCCCATCGCCTCACAGGCCCCGCCCCATCGCCTCACAGGCCCCGCCCCATCGCCTCACAGGCCCCGCCCCATCACCTCACAGGCGCCCCCCACCTCAGAGGCCCTCTCCATCACCTCACAGGCCCCGCCCCAATACCTCAGAGGCCCAGCCCATCATCTCACAGGCCCCGCCCCACCACCTCATAGGCCCCGCCCCATCACCTCAAGGCCCTGCCCATCACCTCACAGGCCCCGCCCCATCACCTCACAGGACCCCCCCATCATCTCACAGGCCCCGCCCCATCACCTCACAGGACCCCCCCCACATCATCTCACAGGCCCCACCCCATTACCTCACAGGTCCTCCCCATCACCTCACAGGCTTTCCCGCACATTACCTCACAGGACCCGCCCCACCACCTCATAGGCCCCTCCCCATCACCTCACAGGCCCCGCCCCATCGCCTCACAGGCCCCGCCCCATCACCTCACAGGCGCCCCCCACCTCAGAGGCCCTCTCCATCACCTCACAGGCCCCGCCCCAATACCTCACAGGCCCAGCCCATCATCTCACAGGCCCCGCCCCATCACCTCGCAGACCCGCCCCATCACTTCACAGGCCCCTCCCCATCACCTCACAGGCCCCGCCCCACCACCTCATAGGCCCCGCCCCATCACCTCAAGGCCCCGCCCATCACCTCACAGGCCCCGCCCCATCACCTCACAGGACCCCCCCATCATCTCACAGGCCCCGCCCCATCACCTCACAGGACCCCCCCACATCATCTCACAGGCCCCACCCCATTACCTCACAGGTCCTCCCCATCACCTCACAGGCTTTCCCGCACATTACCTCACAGGACCCGTCCCACCACCTCATAGGCCCCTCCCCATCACCTCACAGGCCCCGCCCATCACCTCACAGGCCTTCCCGAACATCACTCACAGGCCCCTCCCCATCACCTCACAGGCCCCAGCCCATCACTTCACAGGCCCCAGCCCATCACTTCACAGGCCCCTCCCCATCACCTCCTAGGCCCCGCCCATCACCTCCTAGGCCCCGCCCATCACCTCACAGGCCCCTCCCATCACCTCACAGGCCCCTCCCCACCACCTCACCGGCCCCGCCCCATCACCTCACAGGCACCACCCACCTCAGAGGCGCTCTCCATCACCTCACAAGCCCCACCCCATCACTCACAGGCCCCTCCCCACCACCTCACAGGCCCCGCCCCATCACCTCACAGGACCCCCCCACATCATCTCACAGGCCCCACCCCATTACCTCACAGGTCCTCCCCATCACCTCACAGGCTTTCCCGCCCATCACCTCACAGGCCTTCCCGAACATCACTCACAGGCCCCTCCCCATCACCTCACAGGCCCCTCCCCACCACCTCACAGGCCCCTCCCCATCATCTCACAGGCCCCAGCCCATCACTTCACAGGCCCCTCCCCACCACCTCACAGGCCCCTCCCCATCATCTCACAGGCCCCAGCCCATCACCTCACAGGCCCCTCCCCACCACCTCACAGGCCCCGCCCCATCACCTCACAGGCACCACCCACCTCAGAGGCGCTCTCCATCACCTCACAAGCCCCGCCCCATCACTCACAGGCCCCTCCCCACCACCTCACAGGCCCCGCCCCATCACCTCACAGGCCCCGCCTCACCCTCACAGGCTTCTCCCATCCCATCCCCCATCATCTTACTGTAGCGACCCCAGAGCCTGCGCGGCAGCCTGGAGCAATGAGGCCGGAGCGGTGAGGGAGCACTCAGGTGCACTGCACTGGTCTCTGCAGTAGCCCCACCCACCCTAGCCCTATTACGTCCTCGGGCTCACACCTGGCACAGCGCCTCCTCATGGGCGGCCGTGCTCGGTCTAGAGGGAGCAGCTGGAGTCCCTGCCGTGGGAGGCGGCAGCAGGCAGCGGCCTGGGCGGGCGGCTCCAGGGCGGGGGCGGGGCCTCGGTGGGCGGGGCCTCGGTGGGCGGGGCTCTGAGCGAGGCTCGGGGCGGGGCCTCTGGGCGGGGGCGGGGCCTGGTTGCTGGACCCTGGTGGCTTCCGGGCGGCGGCTGCGAGGCAGGAGTGGGTGGTGGCCCCCTTCAGCGTGCATTTCCACCAGGGTCGCCCTGCGACGCCCTTCCTGCCGCCCACCTTCCCACCTGGGCCCCGAAGGCAGAGAGGAGAGACCGAGGTGACCTGTGAGATGGGTGGTGGCCGCAGGAGGCCCCCCGTGCTGGGCGCAAGGAGAGGCGGCGAGACCCCAGAGCCCGCGCCCCGCCCCCCGGATCCTGTGCTGGAGCGAGGCGAACTGCACGGGGGGTGGAGACCCCCACCCCGCGGTGAACTGCCAGCCCTCCCCCGCAGCAGGACGGAGGGGCTGACCCCGCGCAGGGCGTGGCCCCCACTGGGAGGGTCAGCACCCGCTGGGGGCCGTCCGTGCCCACAGCCACGGGCGACCTGGCCCTCCAATCGCCCCCCGCCTCAGGGCGCGCCGCCTGCCCCCGGGTGTCCTCCAGAGACCCCCGGTGGGCACCGTGGAGTGGACAAGCACCAGGCGCCCCCTGGGGTCCTACCACACCCTCTGTCCTCAGGCCCACGGCGGGTCCCACGCAGGGCCCTCAGCGGCCGCGAGCAGGCCACGTCCTGTGCGGGAGCAGGTCACTGCCTGGACAGGAGGGATGACGGCGAGGTGGGGGCAAGGCGGGACGGGCAACGGGGTCCTCGGTGGGGCGGCCTGAGCCCCTGGCCCCGCCGGCTCCTCTCCCCGCTCTCCCACCTCCTCTCTTCCCTCCCTCCTCTCCCCCCGCCCCGCCCCCATTCCGACGCTTCTCTCCCCCTCCCCCGCCCCCTTCTCCCTGTCCCTTTTGTCCCTCCCTCTCGTCCCCTCCATCCTCTCCTCTCGTCCCTCTACCCTGCAGCCGCACTGCCCCCTGCTGGCCACACTCCCGGCCTTACTGCGCAAAGGCCCCGAGCGAGCGCGTCCAGGCTCCCGCAGCCCAGGCCAAGGTCCTCCCCTGGCAGCCCGCCAGGACACGCCACGCATGGGGCCACCCTGCCCTCCTCGCATAGGCTCGTCTGCACCCTCACGTCCTTTCCTCCCGGTGTGGAAGGGCTGCACCTCAGTGTCTCTTCTACAGGGCCAGAGTGGGAGGGAACATAGGGTTCCCCAGCCCATCAGGAGGGACCCCCGGTGCAGAGCCAGGAGGAACCCCTAAGCACCACCAGGTGTGGCCCCAAGAGGAAGCACACCGACAAAAAGGAGTTTCCCTCGGACTGTCGGGGGCAGCCGGCCGAGAGCTGAGGGGATCTCAGTAGGGAGACATGGGGAGGGGCACAGGCTCCCTCTGGGCGCTGGGGGAGGGCCTGAAGCTGCTCCAGGACACTGCCCGCCTATGTGACTCCACCTCAGGGGGCTTGGGCGGCCTGTGGGGCCGCCACTGCAAATAGCGAGGGCCAGACACGGCCCTGTGGAGCCGGCCCCCGCCTACAGCCCCATCCACACAAGCCAGGACGAGGGAACAGATGGCCCTGCCCCTGCTGAGCCGGGCAATCTGGGGCTCCCGCAGGGCCCATCCCAGGGCTGCCTCCCCACCCACCTGTCCATGCTGGGCTGGGCAGGGAGCACCAGGAAGGCATGCCCATACATGCACATGCATGCTCATGTGCTCACACACTTTTACATACATGCTCTCCCACACATGCACACGCATGCTTATGTGCCCCACACAGGTACACACCAGTCCTCACACACATCACACGCATGCACATGCATGCCCATGTGCCCATACACTCTCACACACATGCACACAAGCTCTCACACACATGAACATGCCCTCACACAGGCTCACCATGGCTCTAATAGTCTTGCTCACATGTGACTTCACATGTGCGTACATAGTCACACGTGTTCTTATGTGCACATGCTCAGTGCTCTCACACATTTACACACGCTCACACGTCCTCACAAATGCTCTCGCAGGCACACATGCTCCCACAGTGTTCACACATGCTCCCCACACAGGCATGTTGGCATCTGCCTGGAGAGGAGCTAGGGGTGAGGCCGCACTCTGACCTGGCCCTGCCTGTGGGGAGGGCACTGGAGGGGTCTCCACCGGGCACATGGCAGTGAGTCCTGGCACGATGGAGGCCGCGCAGGAGAGCGACCCACAGGCCAAGTGGACACAGGCCTGGTGGAACCGGACTGCAGCCCTGCGCTCTGCCCGCCCCGCTCACAACAGCGCCCGCCAGGCCCCTCCCCCACCACGCCCCGCCCGGACACCAGCTGCACCTGTCACTCTGCCCCTTCCCGCGCAGGACCACACTTGCGCTGTCACTCAGCCTGCGCCCCGCCCCCCACACGTGCTGTCACTCAGCGGGCGCCCTGGTCATCGCGTGGGACACTGCCCGCTGATCCTGCTGGCCCATGGATCCGGCGCTGCTCTTCGTGCTGGGGTTGCTGGCCCAGGTAAGACCCCCCCACCCCCTCCCCCGGCGCCTCCCAGGACCCTGGCTGGCTTGGAGACCTGAGAACACCCTGGGGCCAGCACTGGGAGGGCAGACATGCTGGGAGTTCCTGGGGAAAGGCGGCTGCCCGGACCAACAACAGGAACCCAGCCGGGCCGAGGAGGGCAGGCCCCCCCTCCACAGCGACACCCTGGCCCAGGGTGGGCTTCGTCAGAGCTGGGGTTCGTCCAGCTCGTGTGAAGGACCGGCACAGCCAGCTGCTGCCTCCTCCAGGATGGCCGGGGGTCCCATGGGCAGACTGTCCCCTGCCCCATGGTTCACGTAGGGACCATGTCCTGCCCTGGGCTTCTGGCAATGGTCTCAGCAAGGCCATTCTAGACACTGGGGACGGGACCCCGCAGCAGATGCCCCTGACCCTTGCCCCAGCCCTCACGTCTGTGACTCCACAGCTCCGCTTTCTGGCTGGCTCAGGGGGGACTGTGTGGCCCGAAGCCCTGCCTGGACACGGGCAGCCTGGCTAGACCCCAAGCTCTCAGCCAGGAAGGTTGCTAGCCCGAGCAGCTGGGCGCCCTTCCCTAGGGACACAGATGGTGCTGGGGTCCACCCCATAGGAGAGGCACAGCAAGGAGGTGGTTTCAGGCTTCAGGGCCCCCTGAAGCGCAGCAGCTGGGGGCACTGCTTGGGGTGCGGCCCAGCCTGCATTCCCGCCGCGCCTCTGCCCCTGCCTCCAGGAATGTGGCTGGCCTGGGCGCCAACCCTCCCCCGGGGGGGCCCAGCCTGAGACGCTCTTGCTCTGACCTGTCCCCCAGTCGCAGACCCCACACCCCAGCCTTCTCTTGGGTCCTAGGTCAGATTCGTTGTCCCCTAAAGACAGCCCAGCCCACGCACCCCAGCTTTGGCAGGGTCCCATCACCCCTTATCCTCCCGACACACAGGCACCCTGACTGCCCCCCCCACCGGGAGCCCCATCTGCCCCTAGGTGGCCGCTACCTGCCACCAGAGGAAGCCCCCACCTGTCCTCTGTGTGCCCCCACCGCTCAGCTGCCTTTCCAGAGTTGGGGCGCCTCCTGCAAGCGCTCAGGGGTCCCTGACACTCAGCTCTGTTGCCCCCCAGGCTGGCCCCTCCTCTTGGTGCCTCTGTTGGAGAAGCTGTAGTGCCCCTCCCAGGTCCCCCAGGGCCCAGTGGGCAGCCCAGAGTCACGGGGAGTGGTGGTAAAAGGGGGGGTCTGGGAGCAGTTGGATTTAGTCAGTGGGGCTGGGAGAAAATCTTGAGCCCCAGAGCGAGTTAGGGCTGAGGTCCAACTTAGGCCCTTGAACCCTGAGGCCAGTGGGCAGCATCTCCTCGGTCTTACCCGGCCACAGGAGGTGACCACTGCCATGGACGGACTTCCTGACAGAGAAGTACCCGGAAGGTCGTCTGGGCAGGGCCTGGGGAGTTGGTCAAGTCTTGTCCTGCTCCCAGCTTGGGCCAAGGCTAGAGACCCCGGGAACCGGGGGCTACCCCCGCAAGGGGCAGTGACTGGGTATCTGTAGGCTTCCAGACCCTGTGCTCAAGGCCTAGTGCCACTCTGAGCAATGGGCTTTGCGGGTGCTGGGTGCAGAGCACTGCTGAGGGCTACTCCTCTCAGCTTCCCTGGCCTGGCCTATCGCCCGTCATCACCCATCAGCTGCCCATGCAGTGTAGGTCCCAGAACTGTAGTTCATGCACGTGCGCACGTGTGTATGTGTGAGTGTGTGCATGTGTGTATGCAAGTGTGCATGTACATGTATATGTGCTTCGAGAGCATGTGACTGTGTACATGTCTATATGTGTGCACATATGTGACTGTGCATGTGTGACTGCTCATATGTGACTGCATGAGTATGTGTGTGTATCTGAATGCGTATGAATGAATGTGTGTGACTAAATGCATGTGCATGTGTGTTTGCAAATATATGTGACTGTGTATGGGAGTGTGAATGTGTGTGACTGTATATATGTGCATATGTGTATGTGAATGTGTGACTGTGTGTGTGACTGTATGAGCCCGTGAGTATGTGATTGAGTGTGCGACTGTGTGTGACTCTGAGGATGTATGTGTGTGTTAGTATGTGCTATGTGTGACTGTGTGTGTGGCTGTGTGACCCCGCGAGTATGTGATGGTGTGTGTGACTGTGTGGATGTGCATGTTAGTATGTGACTATGTGTGTGACTGAGTGCATGTGTGAGTGTGCGTGTCTGGACTGCCTCTAGACAGGCCCAGCTGCTCACTTCCAGAACAGTTCCCTGACCCTGAGGCCAAGCAGCCCACTGCTCTCTGACTGGGTGGGACGTGAATTCCTCCTTCAGGGATGCCCCCCAGCAGGCTGGCCCCTGAGCACTGCTGACAGGTGTGAGGGCACAGTTGTCTCTGCAGAGAGGCTCTGCTGGGCTCAGTTTCAAGGCTTGCCCCGTGGGGCGAGCAGAGCCGGCTGGGGGCACTTCCTACCCTGAGGCCCCCCCAGGGGCCCAGACACACTTTCCCTGTGGAGGGGGTCTGGGATTCCCCAGGGACACCAGACTCTCCCTGCACCCCCACCCCCTGCTGGGGACCCGGGTGGCCCTGTCCTGTGGTGGGGTGAGGAGTTGCCAGGCACGTAGGGACCCTCCTCTGACCTCAGTAGGCTCCCAGGGATTCTGCCCCTAACCACACGGACCCCAGGTTCTGCCTCGACGATGCTCACCCTGGAATTCAGCTCCTATCCAGGGTCCAGCTGCTCCCGGCTGCCCTGCATGTTTGGGCAGAGAACTGCCTCTGGGTAGTGAGTCCCGCCCTCTGGCCCTGCTGCCTGGCCCCTGGAGAGGCTGCACATGGGGGGAGGTGGGCGTCAGTGCGGTGTGTGTCTCCAGCAGGGCCTGGGCCTGTCGTGGGGGACGCCTGGACCGGGCGGACCCAGCACCCTGTACCCCTGGCGCCGCGCACCCGCGCACGGCCGCGCGCGCAGGGCCTGGGTCATCCCACCCATCAGCGTCTCGGAGAACCACAAGCGCCTGCCCTACCCCCTGGTGCAGGTGAGGCGGCCGGCGGGGGGCGGGGCAGGGCTGCGGGAGCCGCTCGGGACACGCCCAGACCCTCCTGCTGCCCCGCAGATCAAGTCGGACAAGCAGCCCCTGGGCGGCGTCATCTACAGCATCCAGGGGCCCGGCGTGGACGAGGAGCCGCGCGGCGTGTTCTCCATCGACAAGTTCTCGGGGCGGGTCTTCCTGAACGCTGTGCTAGACCGGGAACTGACGGACCGCTTCAGGGTGCGCCGCCCCGGGGCGGGCGAGGGTCGGCAGGGCGCCCGCGGCCCCGCCCCTCCTGGGAGGGGCCCGACGCCCGCGGCCCCGCCCCTCCTGGGAGGGGCCCGACGCCCGCGGCCCCGCCCTCCTGGGAGGGGCCCGACGCCCGGCTCCGCCCCGCCCCTCCTGGGCGGGGCCTGCCGCCAGAGGCTCCGCCCCTCCGGGCGGGGCCTGAGTCGTGCAGTCAGAAGCTCCCTGGGTTCGGTCTCCCCACACCTCGTGGGGCCTGTCCCTGCTCCCTCCCCTAGTGAGCGGTTCCCGCGGTGAGCCTGTGCCGGTCGGCCCCTTGGCGCACCCTGCTGGTGGCCGCTGTGCTTGGGTCGGTGCCAGCTCTGTCCCTGCTCTGGTAGCTCCGGGCCTTCGCTCTGGACCTGGGGGGCTCCGCCCTGGAAGACCCCACGGACCTGGAGATCGTGGTTGTGGATCAGAATGACAACCGGCCAGTCTTCCGCCAGCAGGTGTTCACAGGACGCGTGCTGGAGGGCGCCGTGCCCGGTGAGCAGGCCGACAGACCCCGGGGCCCCTGTCTCTGTCTCAAGGAGAAGGTGTGGGTGCCTGAAAGCCCTCCGTGCATCAGTGTCTGTGGCCAGGGGCTGGACTGAGGGCCTTTCTACTGGACCGTGCTGAAGTGTCTTCCCCTAGCACTGGGGGGGCCAGCGCCGGAGATGGGCTGGGGGAGGGTGCCCCCTGCTGCAGTCTCCCTGGCCTTTGCTACTTGGCCCGCAGACTCCACATGAGCAGCAGGATGGTTTTTCTTCTCACAGAGGGCCTTGGGGGTCCCAGTGTAGGGCTCCCCTCACTCCTTGGCTGTGCCGTGAGGCGGGTGTGCCAGGAATCCACAGCAGAGCCTGGCGTTCTCTGAGGGGGGCCTGTCCCTACTCCTTGCTGTGTCCACCACGTGTTCCACCCCTTGCTGCTGCTGGTCTGGGGAGTGGCCTCTGGGCCAGCAGGTGGCCCGGCCACCCCACGCCAGCAGCAGTGAGGCACAGAGGTGCTGCCCCTTCCTGCTCCCTATGGCTCCTGTCACTCTATGGGCCTCGAGGCTCTGAGGACCCAGGCGTGGCCACTGACAGTTCAGATCTTTCAGTTGGCAGGGTGGCAGGTGTGCATGTGTGTGTTCTAAATGTGCACGTGTGTGTTGTGTGGAAACAGGTGTGCATGTGCAGTATGTTGTACACATGTGTGCATGCCATGTGTGCACACACTGGGTGCACTGCTGTGCGTGTGTATGGTGCTCTGGTATACAAGTGGGGTGTGTGTACTTTAGGTGGGTGTGGTGGTATGTACACACACTATGTGTACACATGTACATGTGCTGCACACTGCACCGCTATGCTCTCTGCATCTGTGTGTGTGTGTGTGTGTGTGTGCAAACCATCTAAGTCCAGGCGAAGCTTTGGGCAACATGTCTGCTCAGGACGCAGCTGAGACGGGGCGTCTCTCATGGGCATCACCCACGTGCCTGTCCTTCACAGGCACCTACGTGACCAGGGCTGAGGCCACGGATGCCGACGACCCCGAGACAGACAACGCAGCGCTTCGTTACTCCATCCTGGAGCAGGGGGCGGCTGCGCTCTTCAGCATCGATGGAGTCTCAGGGGAGATCCGCACTGTGCAAGTGGGCCTGGACCGCGAGGTGAGGCCCCTCACACACACGCCAGAGCCCTCCTCGGAGAGACCACCCACCTGACGCGGTGTCCCGTGCCCCCAGGGGGTCGCCGTGTACAACCTGACCCTTCAGGTGGCAGACATGTCTGGGGACGGCCTCACGGCCACCGCCTCAGCCATCATAACCCTCGAGGACATCAACGACAACGCTCCCAGCTTCACCCGGGATGAGGTACCGCCCAGTTCTGCTCCCGGAGGCGGGCCATGTGAACAGGGTGCAGCACAGATGGCAGTGTGGGAGGGAAGGGCCTCCCGGAGCCTGGGGGTACCTCTGGCTGGCACTGGCACACCGCTCCACCCCACCCCTTAGTTCTCCATGCAGGCCACTGAGGCCGTGAGCGGTGTGGACTTGGGGCGGCTGGAGGTGGAGGACAAGGACCTGCCTGGCTCCCCCAACTGGGCCGCCACATTCACCATCCTGGAGGGGGACCCAGATGGGCAGTTCAGCATCCGCACGGACCCCAAAACCAATGAGGGCGTGCTGTCTGTGGTGAAGGTGAGTCCCCCGCCTGGCTGCTGGGACCCTGAGTGCCACTAGCACAGGGGCTGAGCTGCAGGACCCGCCCACCTGTCACCCACGCAAGGGTCCCATCCTCCCCGGCTAAGAGAAGACAGGGTGCAGGCGGGAGCTGCAGGGGCCCCCCGAGGACCCTCCGCACCCGCTGTTTCTGCACGTGGGTCTCGCAATTCTCCCCACAGCCCCTGGACTATGAGAGCTGCGAGCACCACCACCTCAAAATTGGGGTGCAGAACGAGGTCCCCCTGCAGGCAGCCACGCCCAGGGCTGAACGGGGCGAGGCCAGGGTGAGCGTGCGTGTGCAGGATGTGAACGAGCCTCCGGTGTTCCAAGAAAACCCGCTGCGGACCAGCCTGGCCGAGGGGGCAGCCCCAGGGACGCCCGTGACCATCTTCTCTGCCCAAGACCCTGATACACACCAGCTGCAGAGGCTCCGGTAGGTCCTGGGGGCCCGTGGGGACCCTCCAGCCGCCTCCCGAGGGCTCTGGGGACACGGACCGCTTGCATGTGTACGGTTGTTCATGTGAGACCACAACCCCGAGAGCCCTGCCCAGGCTGGGCACCGGTAACCTCCCTGCCCACAGCTACACCAAAGACTATGACCCCGAGGACTGGCTGCAGGTGGACGGGGCCACCGGCCGTATCCAGACGCAGAGAGAGCTCAGCCCACACTCGCCCTTCCTGCAGGGCGGGTGGTACAGAGCTATCATCCTGGTGGAGGACGATGGTCAGTGCTGTGGCCAGGCGGGGGGCTGGGGGGGTGTCTGAGAGCACGGGGTCAACCCACCTCTCTCCAACAGCTTCTCCTCCCAGTACAGCCACGGGGACCCTATCCATCGAGATTCTGGAGGTCAATGACCATGCCCCTGAGCTGGCCCCCGCAGGAGGGAGTCTGTGCAGCACCCCTGACCTGGGCTCTGGCCTCCTCCTGGGGGCCGTGGACGAGGACATGCCTCCCCATGGGGCCCCCTTCCACTTCCAGCTGAATCCCAGGGTGCCAGGGCTGGCCCAGAACTGGACCCTTCGCCAGATCAATAGTAAGCTTCCCAGCCTAGGTTCCCGAGCGTGGCACAGGGTGGAGTGCGGCGCGGACTCCAGGACAGTCTTGGAGCAGATGGGGAAACTGAGGCTCAGTCCCGCTGCTCAGTGAGTACCCCCACCCCCTGCAGTGAGCCACGCCCGCCTGCAGCTCCGGCACCGGGTCCAGGAGGGGCTGCACCCGCTCAGCCTGCTGCTCCGGGACTCGGGACAGCCCCCGCTGCAGCGCGAGCAGAGCCTGAACGTGAGCGTGTGTCGCTGTGGCCAGGACGGCACCTGCCTGCCCGGGGCCGCGGCGCTGCGAGCCGGCGCTGCGGGGGTCAGCGTGGCCGCCCTGGTGGCGGTGCTGGCCAGTCTCGTCCTGCTGCTCCGTGAGTGGCCAAGCCCTCCCGCCGCCCCCCCCCGCCCCCTCCGGGTGCCCCGTGCCGTGGCGCGGCCGCACCCACGTTCCCCTCCATGTGCCTAGTGCTCGCCCTGCTCGCCGCCCTTCTGGTGCGCGCCCGGCAGCGCTCGTGGGAGAAGGTGCCCCCGAGTGGGCCGAGGGACGACCTTCGCGACAACATCCTCAACTACGATGAGCAGGGAGGCGGGGAGGAGGACCAGGTGAGCCGTCCCCACCCCCGCACCTCGGGGGGGCTGGCCGCTGGCCGGGCCGCTCCTGCCCCAGAGAGCCCCACCCGGCCCGGCCACTTTCTCGGGAGGAAATGCCCGCGCTGTGACCCCCACTCAGTCCCTCTCGGGCCCCAGGACGCCTACGACATGGACCAGCTGCGCCACCCGGCCGGACTCCCGGCCCCGTGCGCGCGGCTAGGGCGGGCGCCGCTGCGCAGGGATGCGCCCTTGGGCCGCGGGGGTCCCCAGTCCGCCCGCGCGCTGCCCTCGGACCCCGGGGACATCGAGGAGTTCATCAGCGATGTAAGTGCCGCGGGCGCGCCCCTGATCCCCCCCCCCCCGCCCCGCCTGCGCGCCCCAGCCCGGCCCGCGCGCCCCCGCTGAGCCGCGCCCCCGCAGGGCCTGCAAGCGGCCGACGCCGACCCCAGCGTGCCCCCCTACGACACGGCGCTCATCTACGACTACGAGGGCGACGGCTCGGTGGCCGGCACACTGAGCTCGCTCCTGTCCAGCCTGGGGGACGAGGACCAGGACTACAGCTGCCTGCGGGACTGGGGGCCCCGCTTCGCGCGCCTGGCCGATCTGTACGGCCCCCTGTGAGCCCGCGGACCCTCCCCGGAGCAATAAAACGTTTCGGCGCGCACGTGTCTCGTGGTGCGCTCGTACGCGCGTGCGGCCGTCGCAGGTCGCGGTCGGGCGGCGCCAGGGACAGTCCAGGCGGGGCGCGTCGCACAGGCTTTAATTGTGGCCGCGCGGCGCGGGCAGCAGCGGCAGCGGCAGGTCCCCGCGCCGGGGCCGGCGCAGGCGGTCGGCGTCGGGCAGCGAGTGCGGCAGCGCGCGGCCGCGGCTCTCGGGCAGCAGCAGGACCAGGAGCAGTGCCAGCACCGCGAAGGCGGCGAACAGCACGTGGAGCAGGAAGAAGCCGCCGCGGCCCTGCGCGTCGGCCAGCGGCGCGGCCGCGCGGCCCAGGAAGCCGGCGCCCAGCACCAGGCCCAGCCCCGCGCCCCTGCGGGAGGGAGAGCAAGGCGGTGGGCGCGCGCCGGCACCCCCTGCCGCCGCGCGCCGGGCAGGCACTCACCTGAGCACGGTGGGCAGCACCTCTGCGGCCAGGAGGCAGTTGAGGGCCCACAGGGCCTGCGCGGCCAGGAGCCCCAGGGCAGAGAGCAGCAGCGCCGTCCAGCGAGGCAGGTCTGGGGGGATAAGCAGCCGGGCTCCCACAGTGCCTCGCGTGCCTGGGGACCCTCCACCGCGGCCGTCCTCCGCGCTCCTGGGCCGGGTTCGGAGGACCCCAGCACCCTGCTTGGGGCCAGCCTGGGGCTCCTGCCAGCTCCCGCTCCGGTGGTGGGCCAGTGCCTGTGGCCACCCCCAGCTCCGCCGGGCCTGGCCCCTGGCCGCATGGCGGGACATGACCCGCCCCCACGGTACTCACACTGGACCCCAGCGAGGAGCAGCAGGGAGGCCAGGCCCGTGGCCAAGGTGCTGAGCAGCAGCAGTGGCCGTCTGCCCCAGCGGTCAGCTGTCAGCAGCAGCAGGAGCGTAGCCGCCGTGTCCAGACCAGCGGTCAGGAAGAACGGCAGGTAGAAGGCCTGTGATGATGGAGTCAGGCCGTGCAGGAAGCTGGCACGGACGCCCCCAGCGATCAGCCTGCAGGGAGGGGAGAGCCAGGTCCAGCCAAGCCTCCAGGTGAGGGGAGGTGGGCCCGGCCACGCGCTCCCGCCCTTCTCGCTGCCCTCCTCACGAACTGAAGGCCAGGATGAGGCCGTTCCTCCAGGCCACGCGGGTGTGGCGCAGCTCCAGGAAACAGTGGTGCCGGGGGGCCCCTGCGGACGGCAGGTCCAGGTCTGCACCCAGACAGGACGCGGCCGTGAGGGAGAGCCACGCCTTGTGACCCCTACTCCACCTGCCATCTGGTGGGAACAGGATCACTACCAGTGGCCAGGGAGCTCTCCTCCTCCTCCTCCGAGCTGTCCTCCAGATCCACCCCACTGGCTTCTGCCAAACGCCGAAGGATCTTCCTGGCCCGGGCCAGCTGCCCTGTGGCCAGCAGCCAGCATGCAGACTCCGGGAACAGATCCGGGAACCTGAGGGCAGGCCCGGGTGGTGACCTGGGTGGTGACCGGGGGACTGTGGTGAGGCGCCCCCTGACCAGGTCCCGGACTCACACTCACCCCCAGAACAGCAGCAGGAGGCCCATGACCAGGGCGTTGAAGGCCTGCAGGAGACGCCAGTCTTGGGCCAGCAGCGCCAGGCCTGGCAACAGCAGGACACCGGCCACCAGGAAGAGGTGGGCACCCATGGTGAAGGCCAGGCGGTGGGGGGCGTCACACAGCTCCAGGCCTGTGCAGAAAGCACTGAGCGGGCACTGACCCACCAGGGTGTCCACCCCCTCCTGAGCAGGCGCCCCCAGCCTCCAGGCACTCACGAGCCACGTAGAGGGCGAGGGAGACGCCTGCCAGCGAGCTCCCGTGGAGAAGGCGCAGGACCAGCAGGGCGAGGAAGCTGCCGGCCAGGGCCTCCACGGCCCCCAGGCCTGCCGCCCCCAGCAGGGAGCCCACAAACACAGCCCGGCGGCCAAATCTGCGGGCAGCACAGGACAGCAGCATGGTCAGGGCCGCGGGCGGCGGGCCACATGCTGTCCTGCCCAGTGTGCTGCTCACCGGTCACAGGCTGCGCCCAGGACGACGCAGCCCAGCACCCAGCCCAGGAGGTGACTCGCGTGCTGCAGGGGCACCTTCCAGGCATCCTCACACACGAGGTTCCACTGTGGATGGAGGACAGGAGGCTGCAGGGCACCCCGGCTCTCTGCCACAGGCCGGAGGGACCCGTGTCCTGGCAGCTGCTCCCGGGACAGTGCTCTCCCAGCTTCCCCTCAGGTCCAGGCAAGGCTGGGGGGATGGTCCAAATTTCCCCACTGGTTCGTAGCTGCCTCGGTTTCCCCTGCGGGCCACAGCCCAGGGCCTCCCGGCCTGCTCATTTCAATGGGTCCGGGAACAGGCAGCTCCTGGCCAATCCCCCTCACAGCCCGGCTTCCCACCCCCATCTAAAGAGCCCTTGGGGGCCTGCAGTGATGAAATGGGCAGGGGGGCGGGGTGGAGAGGCCCAACAGGTCCTGCCAGGAATGTGGCAACTCTCTTTCCTCACCCTCACGCCCCCGGAAAGTGGAAAGCGGGGGCGGGTGTGGGGCAGAGGTGCTGGCCAAGGCGGCTCGGGAGGGCGGGGACCCCAGCTGGCACAGGCCCTCCCTGGCTGAGCGCGGAGACCCGAGGCCCAACTCTGCGCCCGCCCGCAGCAGCGTCCAGCCCACCACCTTCCCCGGCCGCGGACAGCGCGGCCGCCGGGCTGGCGACCTACTCGGGCGCGGGCTGAACCCGGCGGCGGGCCCGTCAGCAGACCAGGGCCCAGGGCGGGGTCTCCAGGGGCTGGGCCGGGGGTCCCACCTGGGTCACGGGGCTGCTCAGCAGGCCGGCGGCGGGCAGCGCGTAGTGCCAGCCCCGGGTGCAGGGGCGCGTGCCGTTGGGGTAGTGCAGGAGCAGGCAGGGGCTCGGGCCGCCGCCGGGGGCCAGGCGCGGCACGCTGGCGTCCAGCAGCGCGGGCCCGCGCAGGGCGCGCAGGGCGGGCGGCAGCAGCGCGGGGTCCGGCCGGCAGTGATGCGGGGGCAGCGCGTAGAGCAGCGGCTCCGAGCCCAGCGCCAGCCCCAGCGCCACGCACGGCAGCCACGACGCGGCCGCCAGCAGGCGCCGGGCCCGGCCGAAGCCGCCCGCCGCGCGGAGCAGCCGCCCCTCGCCCTCCATCCGCGCCTCTGAGCCGCGGGGCGCCTGCGGGGGCGGGGCCCGCGGGAGGGGCGGGGCCTGGAGGGATGGGCGGGGTCGAGGGGCGGGGCCGGGCGGGGTCTGCTGCGGGGCGGGGCTACGGGCGGGGCCTGAAGGGCGGGACCGGGCGGGGCCTGCAGGGCGTGGGCGGATCCGGGGCGGGGCCTTCAGGGCGTGGGCGGAGCCGGGGCGGGGCCTGCAGGGCGCGGGCGGAGCCGGGGCGGGGCCTTCAGGGCGCGGGCGGAGCCAGGGCGGGGCCTGCAGGGTGCGGGCGGAGCCGGGGCGGGGCCTGCAGGGCGGAGCGGGACCTGGGCGGGATGGGCGGCGGGGCCGGGCCGGGCCAGGCGGGGCCTTCAGGGCTAAGGCGGGGCCTGCGGGGCGGGGCCTGCGGGGCGGGGGCGGGGCTCGGGCGCGGCCTCGAACTCGAGGGCAGAGGGGTCGGCAAGGCATTGATTGGGCCCGTGCGGGCAGCCTACAGGGACAAACCCGAGGTGGGCGTTGGGGCGGGCTCCAGGGCCAGGGGGCGCAAGGCGGCTCTGCACAGGTGAAGGGCAGGGCCGCGGAGGAAACCTGAGGGGCGGGTCGGTCCTGGGCGCTCGTCAGCGGCTGCGGGAGGGGCTCGCGCCGCGGCCCGGCGGCAGAGGACTGGCGGCCCGGCTGCGTCCACCGCGCGTGACCGGCCGGCGTCCTCGAGTGGGGCGGCGCGCCGGGTCGGGGCCGGGCGAGGGGGCGGGGCTCCGAGGTGTGGGGGCGTGGTCCCGCGGGTGGGCGGGGCCTGGCCTCGCGGTGGGCGGGGCTTCCCGGGGCGGGGCCTGTGGCCGCGAGAGGCCGGGCGTCCCCGCGCGGGCCGTGGCCGAGGGGCTTTCCGGGAGGCGCGGCGCAGGGCGTGGTCTCCGGTGCTCCCGAGGCTGCTGGCCGGGCCCGAGGCTCCACGTCCGAGCGCTCTCGGGGCGGACCCGCGGGGCCCTACTGCCACCTGGCGGCTGGGGGTGCGTGAGCGGCCAATGGTGCGGCTCAGGCGTCCGCCCGGCAACCCTGTCGCACACGGGCCCAGCGCCCGAGCGTGGACAGTAGCGAGGGCAGCCCTGGCAGCGCGCTCTTCCGCGCTCAGGAGGGGCGGATCCTCGTGATTTTCCCCAGGAAACTTCCTCTCCTCGGCGGTCAGGGCCTGCTGACCCCTGGCTCTGGGCCACTCCCAGCACGCAGCAGGTCCACTCGTTTTCCGCTTTCGTGTCCTCGGTGAGGAGGGGCGGGCCCTGCGCGGTGCCTGTTTGGGCTGTGTCCACCCGTTTTGCTTTGCGAAGCTGCTGTGCCGGCGCAACGCTTCTCTCGCACGCAAGGCGAAATGCTCCACCGCCAAGCCACACTACCCTGCGTTCCCTTCAGTACTTGGACATTTCTTGAGTTTGGGCATCGCTATTTGCTGGGGCCAGAGCCAAAGCGCAGCGGAGAGGGCGTTTGCCTTGCACGCGGCTGACCCGGATCGGAGCCTCAGCGACCCATACGGTCTCCCGAGCACTACCAGTGTAACCCTGAGCACGGCTGGGTGTGGCCCCCCGACAAAGCGAAACTAAACAAAATCATTTGTTTGAAAAGTTGGTGACGTTGGTGGAACACAAAAACCCGAAACATTTTATGGCACCACCACCTTTTTTTTTATCAAGTTTCAGAGCATTATTATGGGTGGAAAAAGCTTGGCAATATCAACTCTCTCGACTACGCCCCTTCTCCCCCAACCTAGACCACCTAGGCCCCTGTGGCATACTGTCAGCTTCTTCCTCTTAGCATGACAATTTTCGCAAGATCCAGGGCCTCATTCCTTTTTGTGGCTGAGTGAAATCCCATTGTTCATGTATGTCAACTCTGGTCCATTTGTTGACAGTTTTGGGTATGTTCACTTTAGGCATAAATGAGATTACTATTGCTATAAATATGTGCATGTATTTTAAGTCCCTATTTTAATTTCATTCGAGAGTTCACTTTAAAATTTAAAAATCCGGGGCTGGAGAGATAGCACAGCAGGTAGGGCGTTTGCCTTGCACGTGGCCAACCCGAGTTCGATTCCCAGCATCCCATATGGTCCCCTGAGCACCGCCAGGAAGTAACTCCTGAGTGCAGAACCAGGAGTAACCCCTGTGCATCGCTAGGTGTGACCCAAAAAGCAAAAAAAATTTAAAAATCCATGGGGTTGGAGTGATAGTACAGAGGGTAAGGCGCTTGCCCTCCACTCATCGAACCAGAGGTTCCATCCAGAGCATCCCATACCGTCCCCTGACTCTACCAGGAAATTCCTGAGTGCAGAGATAAGAATAACCCCTGAGCACCACCGGGTGTGTGTCTCAGGAACCGAACCAAAAGCCAGCACATCTAAAGTGAGTTTATTTGGGAGAACTGAAAGGGTTGCAGCTGGAAGGCATGGGCACAGGTGGAAGTTGGAGGTGGTACTGATGCTTCTGTAAGGAAGGGCAGGTGGTGCTGGGAGCCCTTGGAGGACAGCGGTGGTGTCAGCAGCTGGACAGGTGGTCTCAGCACAACCAGGCCCGCATGTCTCAGCTGCTCTCTGTGGCACGCTCCTGCTTCCCATGTCTCCTCCACTGTGGCCCATGCTTCCTCCCCTACTCCCCCTGCAACTCTGAAGGGGATTCTGGCGACTTTTTCTGTTCTCACTGTGGCCTGTGTCCCAGCTGCATCCTGTGAGCGGATTCTGCAGCTGCCATTTCATTGTTTTCCAGTGGAATATCTTGGTTTTTCTGGTAAATTATGCCATCTGCAAAGTGATTTTTTTTCTTTTTTCTTTTTGGGTCACACCCAGTGATGCTCAGGGGTTACTCCTGGGTCTGCGCTCAGGAATTACTCCTGGTGGTGCTCAGGGGACCATATGGGATGCTGGGAATCAAACCCGGGTGGGCTGCATGCAAGGCAAACTCCCTATCCACTGTGCTATCGCTCCAGCTCCCTGCAAAGTGATGGTTTTACCTATTTCTTGCTGCTGTGACAGTTCTGGCTGAGACCTCAGTGTCACAGGGACTGTAGGACCACACTTGGGAACCATGCAGCTCTGGTCCAAATCTGGGTCGGAAGCATTGTAGGCATGCACCCAAACTGCTGTACTTCTCATCCCTTACCCCGCTGATACTTTTAGAATTTATTATTGCTGGTTTGGGGGTCACACCCAGTGTTGTTTAGAGGCCACTCCTGGCTCTGTGCTAGGGGGTTGTTTCTGGGAATACTCAGGGGTGACAAACTCAGGTCGGCACGAAAACTTGTGTTCAGTTTGGGGAGCTCTTTCCAGCACTCCATTTTTTGCTTTGTTTTGGGGTTTTGGATCTACAACTTAAGATGCTCAGGGACTATTCTTGACTCTCAAGAGTGACCCTTGGTGGTGCTCAGTGACCATATGTGGTGCTGGGTATTGGAACCAGGGCTGCAGCTGTACAAAGCAAGTACCTAATCTACGTTTTTATTCTTAAGAAGTTGACACTTTCCATAGAAGCATTTTCTATGCAAAAAGATTTTTTTGCATTTCCTGCCCACCTTGCCTCTCCCAACCAGTGCATTCCCCGCCTACAGAACGTCCCTGCCCACTGCCCACTCCTGGAACTCTTAGCCCTCCAAGTCTGGACCAGCACTTGAAGTCAAGTCCCCCAACTGTCCTGGCAATTCCATGTTCATCTGCTTTTTCTTCATCCCAGTGCTGAATGATGTCCAGTGTTTTCATGTGGATCTGTGAGCCAGACGTGTCTAGACCTTTTTTGCCCATTTTTGGTTTTTTGCTGATTTTATTATTTAATTTTTGTTGTTTTGGTGCTCAGAGCTTACTCCTGGTTGGGGTGGCAGGGCAGGGGGTGTCCCTCAGAGTGCCTCCTTCTGGCACCAGGTGGCTGTTCCCTTGACCTGTCGGGGGTGGGGAGGGAACATGGGCATAAGGAGACTGCGTGTGGAGTTGGGTTCTATCAGAGGTTTAGGACTGGGGGCCCTGAGAGACTCACAGGAGAGGGTCCTGACTACGTGGTTCTGTAGGGCTCGATTCAGGTATGGGCGGTAGGACTGGGGGCAGCTGGGAGGGCTCCAATCCTCTTGCTGGCCTAGTTGGATGTGTGCCAGATTTCAACATGTCCAACATGTCCATGTCATTATTATATAAAGGAGATATAATAATGTCCTTTCACCACCTGTGTGACAGGCCAGTGCTCCATGGAGATACGCCCACTGGGGGTGGCGGGCACAGGGCAGGGAGCAAGCATGAGTCCCTACGGTCAGGATTCCAGTGTCATGTGAGCGAGCCTGCACAGCCTTCCGTGTCTGCCAGGCCCGAAGCTTTCCTGCGGGGTGCTGTTCTTCCTGGTGGCAACAGCCCTCCATGTGCCACCCCTCAGGCTGGCTGTGGTTCCCTTGGCAGTGGCTGATCTTTGTTCACAGCGAGGTTGCGTGGTGACTTTGGGAGTGTCTTCTTGCACCCTGCTTTCCAGGGACACGGAGAAACAGCTTCCATGTCTTTATTGTTCTGGGTTTGGCCACTCCCGGACTCTGCTCAGGGATCACTCCTGGTGGGGTTCAGAGGACCACGTGTGCTGCTAGGGATCGAACAAGTGCCTCAATCCCTGGGCCATGTCTCTCCTGCTTCTCCACGATGCCTTTAGAACCATCTGGGCCATGTGGTGCCGACGGTGAGGGTGCTCGAGCAGTCTGGAGCCCTCCATACAGTGTGTGCCCCCTTTCCTGTTCTGCACCCAGGAACGGGGGCCTGAGGGAGCAATGCTTGTCTTGAACCCTTGAAGGTTGCCTCAGGTGACCCCACCTCAGCTTGGCTGAGCCTGGGCCCGAATCTTTGCAGGAGGACTCACGCTGAAGTCACTAGGTGGTCCTGGGATTTGCTCTGGGGCTCAGGTGGATGCAGCAGTGCCCCAAACCAGCACTCACCAGGAAGACCCAGCCGAGCGAACTGGACAGCTCCTATGTGGTGCCAGGTGGGGCTATCTTTT